GTTTACTTGGTTGGGTCTGAGCAGCTGTGGGACTGGCGGGTGACAAAGATTTGTCCTGACTGTGGGCAAGGCGGAAAACTCTAGCAACACTGTTTGAAAGGATTAGGAGGTGTGGCCTTGTTGGAGAAAGTGTGTCACTGGGGGTGGGCTTTGGGGTCTCAAAAGCCCAGACAGCCCAGTGGCTCGTTCTCTTCCTGCTGCCCGCAGATCTAGATGCAGAACTCTCAGCTACTTCTTCAACAGCATGTCTGCCTGCATGTCACCATGCTCCCCGCCATGGCAGCAATAGACTAAACCTCTGAAACTGTAAGCCAGCTCCAGTGAAATGTTGTCCTTCATAAGAGTTGCTGTGGGGGCTGGAGAGATGGCTCAGCAGTTAAGAGCACTGGCTGCTCGTCCAGAGGACCCAGGTTCAATTCCCAGCACTCACGTGGCAGCTCACAACTGTCTGTTACTCCAAGATCTGACACCCTCACATATACATGAAGGTAAAACATCAATGCAAATAAAACAAAAATAAATAAATTATATATATATATAAAAAAAGAGTTGCAGTGGTCATGGTGTCTCTTCACGGCCATGGAACAGTGACCAAGATAACTAGACATGTCATAGTCTTCAAATTCATCAGGCCTGTCACTTATGAAAAAAATTTTGGTAGTCTCACCAAAAAAGAAAAAGGAGTTGCTGGGAGAATTTACAATGTAGTTATACATCTGGCTGGATTCATGTAAGCATATGAATTATACATGCTTAGGTGAATAAACCTAGGTGGTCACATGCTACATTAACTATGAAAAAGACACTCAGAGATGCTGAGGCCCTGTATCTGTGTTCGAATCTTAGATGGTCTTTTAATAAAAAACCAAGAGCCAGATATCAGGGTGAACGCTGAAAGATCAGAGAAGCCTGGAACTCACAGAGATCCAGACGGATCTCTGCCTCCCGAGTGACAGGATTAAAGATGTGTACTACCACTGCCTGGCCTGTGTGTCTAATCTAGTGGCTGGCTCTGTCCTCTGAGCCTCAGGCAAGTTTATTAGGGTACATAATATATCACCACAATGTATGCTTTATTTGATTAAAAACAAACAAACAAATCTATAATCGATGACAGGAAGAGAAACAGTCTGCCATAGGCTTCAGAAAGAGCAAAGCAGTTTATGAACCCACACAAGTTTGACCTTCTGGTCCTGGGTGCATGTCTGAGAGAGCATGCAATTGTGAGTCAATGCAACAAGTGTGTAGAAGGTTAGAGGAGGAAGGACGCGGAGATGACGCTGCTTTCTGAAGCGTTCATTTGAAGAACTATCTAGCAATGACTTATTGAGAAATCAGACCCCACAATACACAGTGTATAGTGTATCCAGCTTGCTTAGATTAAAAGTCTGGATGACGCAGTGGGGTCATGTGAGAATGTTCAGACCCAGAGACTTGGAGAAAGCAGACAACGCCCGGCCTGTGACATGGTACACACACGCCCGGCCTGTGGCACTGTGCACACACCCAGCATGTGGCATGGTGCACACACCCGGCCTGTGGCACTGTGCACACACCCAGCATGTGGCATGGTGCATACACCCAGCAAGACACTTCGTTAAGTGCTTGACCCATTTTTCTGTTTTCTCCCAAATAGAACTAGATTTTGTTTTTCAATTTTAAAGGAAGAGGAAACAGAGACCATTTTTTTAGGAAAAGGGAGGCACTCCTGGTCATGAGTAGGCTAGTAAGCAGG